CCCCAAGTGAAAGAACTAGAGAATTCTAAGAAGAGATAAATGAAGCAGAGATAAGAAATTTATCTGAAACAAAGTTCAGAGTAATGATGTTAAAAATGCTCACTAGTATGAAAAAAGATATAGTAACTATGAAAAAGAACAGTCTGTGATAAAGAATGACATAACACAAATAAAGGGCACACTAGAAGGAATACACAGCAGATTAGGTGAAGCTGAGGATCGAATCAGTGAATTAGAAGACAGAGTTGAAAATAACACTCAATCAAAGAACCAAAAAGAAAAAACAATTTAAAAACAGGAGAATAACTTAAGGGAGCTGTGGGATAATGAAAGGTAACAATATTATAATAGAATAGCAGGTATGCAGGAAGAGGCAGAAAGGGAGAAAGGCATAGGAAAGGTGTTTGAAGAAATAGTGGCAGAGAACTTTCCTAACCTAGTAAAGGAAAAAGTCACACAAGTTCAGAAGGCACAGAGAACCCCAAACAAGAACTCAAACAGGCCCATGCCCAAACACATCATAATTAAAATGCCAAAAATTAAAGACAACGAGGGAATCTTAAAGGCAGCAATAGAAAAGTGTTACCTACAAAGGAGTTAATAAGCTGACATCTGATTTCTCATTAGAAACTCTATAGGCCAGAAGGGAATGGCATGAAGTACTGAAGGTAATGAAAATCAAGGATCTGAGACCAAGATTACTATATCTAGCCAGGCTTTCACTCAAAATAGATGGTCAAATAAAGAGCTTCCCAGACCAAAAAAAAAAAAAAAAAAAAAAGGCTAAAGGATTACATCCCCAACAAGCCAGCATTACAAAAAATGCTAAAGGGATTGTTGTAATGAGAAGAAACAGAGAACCTAGCCATACAGAATTAAAATGGCAGTAAATAAGCACGTATCAGTAATAACCCTGAATATAGATGTATTAAATGCTCCAATCAAAAGGCATTGGGGCTGAAACCGGTTTGGCTGAGTGGTAGAACGTCGGTCTGCGGACTGAAAGGTCCCAGGTTCGATTCCAGTCAAGGGCATGTACCTTGGTTGTGGGCACATCTCCGGTAGGAGGGGTGTGCTAGAGGCAGCTGGTGCATGTTTCTCTCTCATTGACGTTTCTAGCTCTCTATCTCTCTCCTCCTCTCTGTAAAAAATCAATAAAAAATATATATATTTTTAAAAGGCATTGGGTAGCTGCATGGATATGAAAACATGAACCAACTATATGCTGTTTACAAGAGACCCACCTCAAAACAAAAGACACACACACAGGATGAAGTTTCTGTTAAACATCATTTTCTCTGGCCAGCCCAGATTTCCCTGCTACCATAGATTGCTCCCACCAGCATGGAACACTGTCCTGACAAGCTAGGGAAGATGTCTTATCTCTGTAGCTGAACTTTATATCCCCAGCCACCAGAAGAGAGCCAACCAGTCACAGAAAGTGCTTTAAAATATTTGCTGAATACATTAATGAATCCATACATAGGGCTTTACATTTATCAAGGCAGAGCAATGTGAAATGCACACTTTGAGCTCAAATGTAGATTCAAATCCCAACTCTGACACTCACTAGCTGGATGGACCTTCCAAATCACTTTCCCTCTCAAAGCCTCACTTCTCCTATCTATAAAAAGCCCCACCTACCTCCCAGGTTTTCCTTAGAAATAAAATTCATAATGGGTGACAAAAAAAAATCAGATCATAAGAAACATTACTAAAAGAATAAACTGAGAGAATGGTCCTAAAACGTTTTGGTCTTGAAACCCCTTTACATTCTTATATATTACCAAGAACCCAAAGACCTTAAGTTTATGTAGACTGTATCTGTTGATATTTGCTTTATTAGCAATTAAAACTGAGCAATTTTATTTATTTATTTATTTATTTATTTATTTATTTATTTATTTTAATATATTTCATTGATTTTTCACAGAGAGGAAGAGAGAGAGATAGTTAGAAACATCCATGAGAATCATTGATCAGCTGCCTCTTGCACACCCCCTAGTGGGGATGTGCCCACAACCAAGGTATATGCCCTTGACCAGAATCAAACCTGGGACCCTTCAGTCTGCAGGCCTACGCTCTGTCCACTGAGCCAAACCGGTTTCAGCAAAACCGAGCAATTTTAAATGTTTATTCACTTAAAAATAAATCTATTTAACATACATATTTTATGAAAAATATACACTCCAAAATAGTATAGTAAGAAGAGTTTTCACTTTTACAATATATATATACTAGAGGCCCATTGCAGGGAGATTCCTACAATAGGGCTTCCTGCTGTGGTAGCTGCCCCACCTACTACCCTCCCTTCTCCCCATCCTGCCTGCTTCCCTCCCTTCTCCCCATCCTGCCTGCTTCCCTCCCTTCTCCCCACACCGCCTGCTTCCCTCCCTTCTTCCCCACCCCACTCCCTTCTGCAGCACTTGGCTTCTTTCTATGCGGTCTTCAGTCTTTGCTCTGGCTTGGATATGCAAATAACCGCCATCTTGGTTGGCTTAATTTGCATAGTTACACTCATTGGCTGCTGGGCAGGCTTGTGGGCATAGTAAAGGTATGGTCAATTTACATGTTTGTCTTTTATTAGGTAGGATACACACACACACACACACACACACACACACACTTGAAGCCCAGTGCATGAATTCATGCATGAGTGGATGGGTGGGGTCTGGCCAGCCTGGCCAGGGGGAGGGGACATGGGTAGTTGGCCGGCCTGTCTGCTGGTCCAACTCCTGGTGGAGGAGACAATTTGTATATTAGCCTTTTATTATACAGGATATACAATGAGTGGCCAATTATGAGTTCAGAGATCATAATAATCTGGCTACTCAGTGTATATTACACATTTATGTGTATAAATATGTGTATATTTTTATTGACTTCAGAAAGGAAAGGAGAGGGAGAGATAGAAACATCAATGATGAGAGAGAATCATTAATCAGCTACCTCCTGCACGCCTCCTACTGGGGATCAAATCTGCAAGCCCCACCATGTGCCCTAACCAGGAATTAAACTTTGACCTGGTTCATAGGTAGATACTCAACCATTAAGCCATACCAGCCAGGCTTACAAGTCTTTTTACTGCTCCCTCAATGACAGGTGGATCTGCATGTCTGTTTCTGCACTCACCCAGTTGCAACATGAAATACATGAAGATAATGCAGCCTCACAGTCTGATGCCACCACCACCAAGATTTGTGCTAAGACCTCATTGCTGTTGTATGATTAGTGCAAATGGGAACCAAGTAACAAAGCCAAAGAGTCTTAGTATCGCTGTGAAAATGCTTTCCTTGCAGAGCCCTAAAGTGTGTGGGACTCCCAGGGGTCCCCAAAGCACACTTTGAGAACCACCGTGGTAGACAGAGCAACAGTAAGAGGGAAAGCTCAGGAAGCTGGAACACTGAGACCTACAGCATGAGAAGGAAGGTAGACTCTCCGCATGGGACAGCAAGGCCAGACACAGGAACACCGTGGCATCTGACCACAGGGGACCCTTGAGAAAAGAGCTGGGCAAGGCCACAGCCCTTAGGACCTCTGAGGCTCCTGTATTGCAAGGTCAAGGGATGGAGGAATCCATTCAAGAGTTTTAACCAGGGAGTGTGCCCCTGATTTATACTTTAAGGGGACCCTGAGGCTAACAGGACAGAGGAGCAGAGACCGATTAAGGCTCCTACAGAAGTGCCCCTGCCCTAGGGACATATGACTGCCAGGTGGGAAGCATAGGGGCCCGGGTGAAATACACATTCGAGGTGAAGCCACAGACTGCCAGGCCTCCACAGCCAGGAGGTGGGCATGGCTGGGCGCTCTGGAAAACCAGGTAACTGCCTAGGCCACGTGGTAAGACAGGAAGGCCTTCTGTGTCCTGGGCCTTCTTCCCGGGGACCCAGATAGTGAGCCTGACGGCAGTTTCTGGCAGGAGGCACGTTAACAAGATAAGGTAAATGCGCAGCGACAGGACCAGGCCACTGCGCTGGGGGGCCTCCAGGACCTCCTCACAGCCACCTACCATCCAGCAATGGCAAGTGTAATGACTATGACCCAGGTACGGCTGCGCCCATGGATAGTAGCCAACACTCCAGGCTACAAGAAGGGGTCAGTCCTGGCTGGAATGCCTCTACCCCGGCCCGTCACAGCGTGTCCCTAACTTCCCCATGTGCGCTGCACCCCCTTCGCTGAGGACCTCGGGGAGGGGGGGGGGGGGGCAGTGTGCGCTCCAGCCCCACACCTGCACCTGGGCTCGGTGGGCCCGGGCATCCCTCCTGCAGGACAGGGGCGCACAATCAGCGACCACCGGGCTCTGCCTGTGTCTGGGCGCGGCAGTCTCAGGACCTCACGGCGTCCCAGAGGAGAGGAGCCCGTGCGGCCCTGCGGCCTGGGGACACCGAGGGCCGCGGCTATCACCCCGGCTCCCCGCCCCGCCAGCCCGCCAGCCGCTGGGCTGCGCCGGCACCAGCACCCACAGGCCTCCACGATCCGGCGGAGGACAGGGCGGGGCGCGAACCCCGCTGACGGGCGGGCGGAAGACGCCGGACTCGCGCGGGGGGGAGGGGGGTAAGAGCGAGGTGGAAGCAGGAGAAGGAGGTGGAAGAAAGGTGGAGGGTGGAGGGTACAGGGTGGAGGGAGGAGTGAGGAGGGAGAGGGGTGGGGGAGGAGGGAGGAGGAGGGAAGTGGGAGGGGGAGGAGAAAAGAGGGAGGAGGGAGGAGGAGGGCGGCGTGCACCTCGCCCCCGGCCCGCCGCCGCCGCCGCCGCGGGCCCAGGAAAGTAGGCCCAGCCGGCGGAGGGCCGCGCCGTATCATTCCGCCCGCGCCTGCGGCCGGCAGTCGGGCGGCGGCGGCAAGGCGGTCGGACGCAGCGGCGTCCTCGGCCCTCCCGGCCCCGGCCCTCCCGACCCCTCGCCGCCCCGCCTTGGCCCGGCCGTTCGCGGAGCCCCACGCGCCGCATCCGGGGACTACATTCGCGCGGAGCGGCACAGCGGCGGCCGGCCAGGGCCGCTTACCGGTGTCGCCGCGCGCCTTGCTCTCCTTGGGCTTCGGGGGGCGGCCCCGCGGCATCGTCGGCGGCGGCGGCCCACCCCTCGGCCGCACACACACTCACACACATACGCTCGGCGGAGCGCGCACGCGCGGGGACAGGCCGCGGGGACGCGGCGCGCGCCCGGCCGAGCGTGGAGGCGGGCGAAGCGGCCTTGGCTGCCGCCGCCGAGCCCCGGCCGAGCGCGAGCGGGCCTCACGGGGGAAGGCGCCCGAGAAGGCGAACGGCAGCGCTAGGACCGCGCCCACCGCGGCGGGTTCCATGGCCCGGCGGGCCGCGTTGGGGGGGGGGGTGTTGGGAGCGGGGGCGGGGAGGGGCGCCGCGCGCATGCGCGTTCCGCGTTCGGGCCTGGAGCGCTGGAGGGCGAGCGCGGCGGCACCTGGTAGCCGGGGCTCCGGTGGCGGCGGCGGACTCACCTGGGAAACCTGGCGTGTGGCCGGATCGCTCACCCGCCGGGACAGCCTTTGGGTCTACAAGTAGGAAAAGTGCCCTATGGACAGCAGAGCGCTGAGAAAGCCTCCCAGGTGGGCCGCCGGGGTAAGATGGGAACCCCCACCAAGGAAGGGCCCTGCGTGTGCCCCCCATACCTTGCAGAGTCAGGAAAGCCTTGGGGAGCGCTGCGCCCGGCCCCGGGGCCCGCCGGAGCAGACCTCGGTGTGCTCAGTGTACCCGTTCTCCCACGGAGTGCATGAAAGACACATGGTTCCAAATGCGGTGATCCTTCTTTATTGACCATTCTAACTCCCACAACATTCTCACGGAAACGGGCCAGCGAAGTGCCAGGCGGTTAAGAAGCTGCGCTGTGGAATTGGCTGAAGCAACCCCAGAGCAAGCGAGTCAGTCACCTTAGTGTTCTCTGAAGAAGGACTTCAAGGCAGTAAATAATGATCACCAACTACGTGCAAGATATGAGGGTATACAAGTCTAATGTTACAAAATTTGGAACCATGGATCAGAAAAGACAAAAAAAAAAACTAGTCAAAATATTATAATGGAGGTTTAAATCATCCACGGAGAACCTTGAGATAAAGCAAGAACAGTTAGAAAATTAGGAAAGACTCTCAACTCAATCTTAGTATATGGTAAGAAAGGACTTTGCAGGTTGAGGTAAAGAGGGGGGAAACTAAAAAGTTTTCATATGAGCTGCTTTATATAACTTCAATTATGTTTTCATGTATTCACCCAATTCCTGAAAAAGTTTAGGCAAATAATCATAATAAACAAGCTCAGCATTTCTAACCTACATCAGCCAGCCAGTGACTGGCTAATGGGATTTCGTAATTATTAATGCTGCTTTTAAATACTTCTTACATAAAACACTTCTAATCCTTGCAACAATCCTACAAGTACTATTTTACAAATGACACTGAGAGGTTCAGAGGATTTAAGTAATTTGGTTCAGACTATGTAGACTGGAGGCAAATCCAAGTATCAAATTTTAACTGACAATCCTATACAACTAGTATCAAAGCAGAAAACTACATAAGTTTAAATACAATATGACAGTGTTCATATGCATATTAGTAAGATTGGGATATAAGACTAAGAAAATAGGTTGTAGGCAAATCATAAGAATCCTTGGCTACTTACAAATCAGTTTGGATTATGATGATTTATTTATCGATGAACACCCTAATTTTTTCTGAAAATAATTTGTAGCAATTTATACATGAAACTAAAGGAAAAAAGTAAAGAATCAAAGGGAGTAAGTACCTAATAAAGTCCAATTAGTTATAAAAGGTGAATAGGAAATGGAGCTGCAGATTTCTTGTCCCAAATAAAGAAATAGACATGATGTTACCAGATTCTCATCCATAAAAGACTGGTGTTAATTCTTCTTTAAATGTTTGATAGAATTCACTGATGAAACCATCTGGTCCTAGGCTTTTCTTTGGTGGGAGGTCTTTTATTATTGTTTCAATCTCTTTATTCATTATTGATCTGTTCAAATTTTCTATTTTTTTATGATTCAGTCTTGGTAGGGTGTGTATAGGTTGGTTTCCTAGACACCTCAGAATTCTGTAGAAGGCTGCTCTTCCTTTCGTTTTAAAATTGATAACTATATTGGACATTAAAAGGAGTTCTAAAACATATGCTCCTCAAAACCACACAAAGCACAGTTAGAGAACAGGGCCAACGGCCTGGAAGTCCCTATCTGCTTCTCCCTGAGGACATCCTCTCCCAGAAGTTCCTGCTCTCCTGGTACTGCATCATCCCTTGACTTTATAGTTCTACAAGTTTATTTAGATATTTTTAAATAAATGCAGTATTAGTAAATTGGTCCAATTTTTGAACTTTTTAAAGTTCTTCTGAATTCTTCTGTGTCTTGAGTTTTCGTTCAATACTGTGCTTGTGAGATTTATTGATGTTGATGCATATAACTTTAACTCACTTAACTGTTGTGTATTTCATTGTAAGATTATGCTAGTTTACTCATTCAGTCCATTGTTAATGGAATTTTGGGTTATGCCAAGTTTTGTTTTAGCTTTTTTGTATACACATACTATGTGTATTCTCCTACTTCTGTTTTATTTTTTTTAATATATTTTATTGATTTTTTTTTTTTTTTTTTTTTTTTTTTTACAGAGAGGAAGAGAGATAGTTAGAAACATCAATGAGAGAGAAACATCGATCAGCTGCCTCCTGCACACCCCCCACCGGGGATGTGCCCGCAACCAAGGTACATGCCCTTCACTGGAATTGAACCTGGGATCCTTCAGTCTGCAGATCAATGCTCTATCCACTGAGCCAAACCGGTTTCGGCTACATTCCTTCTTGTATCTCTGACTTCCTTCTGCTTTCTTTCTGTCTTATACATGTTTACTATTTCATTTTGTAAGCACGACCTGTGGCAAACATTCTTGATTTTTATTTACCTGAAAATGTCTCTATATTGTCTCATTATTAGAGATAGTTTCTTCTAATTAAATCTAGGGTGAGAATTATTTTCTTACTAATCTGAAAATATCCTATTTTCAGCTTGGCCTCTCGTCAGTGATAAAGAATCAGTCCATTGTTTTGGTGATCACCTTTTTCACTGAAGCTTTTTTTAATATATGAATGTTTTATTGACTTCAGAGAGGAAGGGAGAGAGAGAGAGAAGCATCAATGATGAGAGAGAATTACTGATCGGCTGCCTCCTGCAACCCGGTCATATGCCCTTGACCGAATCAAACCCCGGACCCTTCAGTCCGCAGGCTGACGTTCTATCCACTGGGCCAAACAGGCCTGGCTTCACTGATGCTTTTGAGACCTTCTCTCACCATTGGTCTCTTGGAGATTCATCTTGGAGTGCCTGTGTGTGGATTTTCATTTATACTTTCAGGGATTCATAAGGAATTTTCATGAATCACTTCTAAAATATGGCCTTAGCTGCATTCTTTCTCCTGAAATCTCAACCAGATTTATGGTAGGTCTTCTCATTTTATTCTCCATAAAACTTAAGAGGTAATCACTCTCACGTTTGTGCAGATATTCCTCTTGCCTCACCCTTGTGCTTGCCTGATAGAAGGGAAACTGCTAGGAGGTTCCACAGGGGATCTTGTGCTTGGCCTGCATTTTGAGAAACAGAACAAAGTAGCAAAGTCTGGGGTTTTCTGAGTGTCCTCTGAGGTGGGCCCTGTCACAGCCCAAGGGTGGTCTCTGCACTTCAGTCATTTCCTCCTCTTCAAAGAGACATCTGACATTCCTCCTGCTGTGCAAGTCAGCAAGGAAGATGCACTTCAAGGGAGATTCCACAGCCCATTTAATAGAGAATGACTCTGCTGCTTGTTTCTTTTTATTGGGATGAAAACACACATTGCATAAAATTTACCATTTAACCACTTCAAGTGAGGCATTAAGTACATTCAATTAGGAAAGTAACTTCTTGCTTACAGTTCATGGAAAACAAAATAGAGCAGTTCTCCAGAGACCTTCAGATCTGCAGCCCAGAGCTTTTTCCATGTGGTCTTTACCTAAACAGGCTCCTCCATCTCTACTCTTGGTGTTTATGCCCTTTTCCCAGCCTCCTATCCTCTGGAGTTGGTGACTCTATTTTTTCTTTATTCCCTGCACCAAGGACTAAGGCAGAGGCACCTATTTCCATTATGACTCCATTTCCTAGTGTAGAAGGTGGTAGAAGATGGAACATGCTCATTCCTCATAGAGGGCACAGTCATTGTGGACCAGCAATTCAAGAGATGCTCTTTCTCCTGCGGCTTGCAGCTTCTTGTCAGTCACGGAATCACTGTGACCGCAGACTCATCAACAGCTGATTTCCTGGGGAAAGGTGATAAACCTTCTTGGAATGGACAATTAAGTATATTCCTTCTGACACAGTTGCATGGACTCCTGTCCTCATGGCAGCTATCAGCAACATTTAGTGAAGGAAGATGGATACTTAGGTTGTTTCATGACACTCAATAAATCTTTTGAATTTTCATTTTCAGAAAGTGTTGCTGGGCAGTGTGAATCTGAGTGGCATAATTTTTTGTCCCAGATTGTAACCTATGTGTACACTTCCACTTCAACAAAAACACACCACACCTGTCAGTGTTCCATGGGAATGTGACCCATCAGCATTTTCCAGGCCTGCCAGCTCCAGCCTTGGCTAATAACTTCTAGAAAATTGGAGAAGCTGTTTCCATTGTGGGGGGGGGGGGGGGGGGCAACAGTCTGATCGCTTTTCTCCTAAGCAGATACGGTCTTAATTGTGTCTCATATTTGGAGGCAGGAAATCTTCATCTATTCTATTCCTCGTTAAAACTAAGAGGTTTTATGTAAACAGTCTTTCTGTCACCCTATTAACCTCAAATAACCCCTCTGCACCTGCCAAGTTGCACTGTGAACTACATACACCCTTCTAGGCACAGCTTACAAGCAGGTTCCATAGTCAACGATTTGGGGCGACAGTTGCCCTGTAAAGCTTAAAAACCTCCAACACATTTTCTCCCATAGATTTCACAGAAAATGCAGGTGCCAAGCTGTGTGGCCCCAGGAAAGTCCCTTTACCTTTCTAGATCTCCGACACCAACGAGAA